GATGGATAGCTCAGTGAAAACTTAATTCTGCATGCAGCTTCTGTGAAAAATGACAAATTTGGAGGTAGTGATCAATAGGAAAGGCATAGAAACCAAAATTGCCTGCAATCTATCTCCTCTTAGCGCATTTATTAGGTATAAGAAAACCTTTTGACATCAAGCAGCAGATCCATTACAGAGTGCCTTGTTAAATGATTTGCACAATTCTTAATACTTGTGCTTGTGTATTTGTTTAGAAGGCTTGACAGCTGGGAGAACTATTTTACAACATTCTGAAGTTATATAGCTATAACTTCATACAGTTATGAGTAATTTGATTACATAGGAAGGAAGTTTAACCAAATAAATTTTGGGAAGTTACACTCAGAATACAGGTGTTCTGATCATCTAAGAAACAGTTCAGTAGTGTTGGAAAAGAACACATGGTTTGGAGCCTCATCTCTGAGGAGATCAGAAAATTCTGAATTACACAAATGGAGAAAACAGGCAGAAAAAAAATGTTCTCTTTAATAATACTGAAATTTAATTCATCCCAAGAAGCTATTTTTTAAAACAACTTACACAGAGTTTTTTAGGATTTTAAAATTAAGAAACATTTCAAAATATCTCTAAATCCAGTTTAATAAGCTGTTAATAACCAAATGCCGCCTTTATATGGCCGAGAAATTTATTGGCAAAACATTCGGAAAATTATTGCGAACTCAAAGGTTTTAGATTGAGATGGGAAAACTTCTTTTGCTTTGAAGACTGAATTAATTATTGGACTTGATTAATGCATATGCAACCCTCCTCTCATTCTTGTCCCATCTTATCAATGTTGCTTCAGTTGCCTTCTCTATTCCAATGACCCTACTATCATTACCACTTAGAAATTGACAATCTTAGGTATAACAGAAGGAGGACAAAACCAAGATTCTTCTTTCCTAACAATCCTGTTGACCTTCATTCTTTACTTTTCTACTTTTCCCACCGAGTCCGACTGCTGAATTTCCATTGGCATTACTAGCAGATCTGTACAGGGGACCACATGACCACCAAAGCATGTAAGTGTTACAATATAGAACAGTTTGGACAAGCTGGCTCTCAGCATCACATTATCACCAGAGATCACCATTTTTCAATCTCCATAGCAACCTTTGTGTTCTGAGTGCCAACCTTGAGGCCTTCTCCCTCCCCCCCCCTCATTCATCCTATTTATGACTCAGAAGTTATTGGAAAACAAGTAGGAAGCAAAATTATAGTAACACCCTGTTTTTAGATTTCCTTTATGCATTTGGCTAGAAATGTCAAAAAATTTAAAGGGTGGCTAGGATCACCCAAACTTTTTTACGTGTATCACATATCCTATGTATGTACAAAGAGGTTAGGTTTTAATTGCAGAGTTGCAATCACCATCTTGACTTTTTTGACACCTCCCCCTATTTGGCTGGCAATTTTATTATTCACACATATTAAAATGATACAAATCTGTGTAATTGTGAGTTGCGATTTAATATTTATCACTAAGATAAAAACAGCACAGTTAATTTAAAATGTGACATGGTGAACTTGCAACTGTTAGCATTTTTCATTTAAGACCATTTACTAACACTAATTGAATATTATTTTCTTATTCTCATACATTACAGAAACATCCATTGCTACCAAATACTGTATACAAATTTTCTTCATTTACATCCTATGTCTGTCTGGATTTAATTCTCAATCTGCAAACAACAACAACAACAACAATAAAAATTCAAACAATCACCTGACACATAATACTCTACTTCACAATAGTATAACAACTGTTGAGAAGAAAGACAAAAAAGTTTGGATAGTGGATGTACCTGGGGACAAGAGAATAAAAGAGAAAGAACCGGAGAGAATCACAAAATACAAGACCTAGAAGTAGAGCAGTTGTAGGAAAAGAAAGCAAAGATACTGTCAATATAATTATATTATATATTATATTATATAACAATAGTATAATTCACCATTGAATTTCATTTTGTTAGATAGCGTCCAGTGTTCAAGTCTGTCCAGATCCTTCTGTATCTTTATAATATAATATAATATAAGCTGGCAGGAATAGCCAACACTCCAGAAGACAGGCTTAAGATACAGAAGGATCTGGACAGACTTGAACACTGGGCGCTATCTAACAAAATGAAATTCAATGGTGAAAAAAGCAAGGTTCTACATTTAGGCAAGAAAAACCAAATGCACAGGTATAGTATAGGGGGTACCTTGCTCAATAGTAGTAACTGTGAGAGGGNTGCTGCAGCTGCCAAAAAGGCCAACACAGTGCTAGGCTGCATTAACAGAGGGATAGAATCAAGATCACGTGAAGTGTTAATACCACTTTACAATGCCTTGGTAAGGCCACACTTGGAATACTGTATCCAGTTTTGGTCACCGCGATGTAAAAAAGATGTTGAGACTCTAGAAAGAGTACAGAGAAGAGCAACAAAGATGGTTAGGGGACTGGAGGCTAAAGCATATAAGGAACGGTTGCTGGAATTGGGTATGTCTAGTTTAACGAAGAGAAGGACGAGGGGGGACATGATAGCAGTGTTCCAATATCTCAGGGGCTGCCGCAAAGAAGAGGGTGTCAAGCTATTTTCCAAGTCGCCTGAAGGCAGGACAAGAAGCAATGGGTGGAAACTAAGCAAGGAGAGAAGCAACCTAGAACTAAGGAGAAACTTCCTGACAGAACAATTAACCAGTGGAATAACCTGCCTCCAGAAGCAGTGAATGCTCCAACACTGGAGGTTTTTAAGAAGAGACTGGACAGCCATTTGTCTGAAATGGTATAGGGTTTCCTGCCTGAGCAGGGGGTTGGACTAGATGACCTCCAAGGTCCCTTCCAACTTTACTATTATTATTATTATTATTATTATTATTATTATTATTATTAGTCATATTGATGCAATCCCAAAACATTTGGAGGACTACTTGACTATTGGCGTTGACAAAAGCACCATCAGTCAATAGCAAAAGGCAGCTTTTACTTGAAACAGCTTATATCCTGTGATTTAACTTCATCAAACAATAACATCTGTCTATCCTAGGTCTTTAGGAAGGCCTCAATAAGTAGATAAGAATGCTAAATTTAATCCAAACATCTGGCTGTGTAACCAAGTATAATAATGAGCAGCAGCATCAGAGGCAGGCAAGGTGATGCCAATACTTTTAAAAGTTGTGGAAGACAACTTCATAGGATCACTGGGTTACCTTTCACCTTCTGCTACTGTTATCTCTCATAGACATTTGATCTATTAGCCTTTAACCTAGGCCTTTAATATCCCCTTTTGATGTCTTATTTGCTTCTATGGTTATCTCATTTGACTCAGTAATGTTTCTTTTAATATTTTGGCAGAAAGTAAATAAACTCACATTGAAATTCTATATTTCACTAAATGAATTAGAGCTTGTTCTTGACTATATCAATCAATCAACCAACCAACCAATCACTTCCAAAAAGTCATCACCTGTCAGCCCCAACTTATAGTGAGGACGGTTGGCTTTTTTCTTCCTACAAGACTTTTGTATGGTTATCAGTTACCTGCCCTTCTCCCACTAAAATAAATGCTTTGAAAGCCTGGCAATTTCCTTGTTATGTGGCTGCATTTTTTTCCTGTAGCATCATCACTGAAGTCATGGCTGTCAGGGTTTTCAGGAAAGGATTATCTGACCTTTCTTTCTTGAAGCGAGAAATCTAAAATATCTCAGAGCTCATGGGACTTCCAAAGGACCAGAAAACTAAGAGATAAAAAGCTGTTAAAATATGAAAGTTGCACATTCTGCATTTTTATTAGTTGCAGTTCTTCAATAGTATAGTAAAGTATGAGAATGTACTAAGTCCTTCTCCACTTTTCAACAAAGCTCAAGCTTTGTGCAGTATCAAATGTTGCAATGCTAGAAACAGGTTGAGACAGTTAAGGCACTGGATTAGACTATGTGTGTGGGGGAGAGAGATTGTTTGGTGTAGCAGTTAAGGCACTGGGTTAGAGAGAGAGAGAGAGGGGGGGGGCTGAGAGGGAGAGAGAGAGAGAGAGATTGTGTTTGGTGTAGCAGTTAAGGCACTGCAATAGACCCCAGGAAACTATAAATTCTAGTCCTGCTTTAGGATGAGTGAGTTTGTACTAGCCACTGTCTTTGAGTCTTAGGAAGAAGGCAAAGATAAGACAGCTGAAAATATTCTGTGTGCGTATACCCAGACACACTACTTTGTCAAGGGAAAATGAATGTAATTTTGCAAATACATAACAAAAAAACCCTCCAGAAGCAACAAAGTAAAAATCAATAGAAAATTCTGCTTCTTCCTATCTCATCTCCTTAGAGGCTAACTGTCTTATGCAAAATCATTGGGAAATAAGGAAAGCAGTGAGGATTTCCTTTCCCCAGGATCTTCATTTTTCACCTCAGAAAAGAATCAATTTTGAGGAAATTTTCTTGGAGAGGAAGCAGCTATATTTCTCTCCAGCAGTGCCATGTTGTAGTTAGCTATAATAAATGATCCAATTATGTATTGATATGCCAATGTATGTAGATCTTGTAATTAGCAAGAGTTGATAATACATTCCATACCCACTAGTACACATGGAGATTCCATTAGATATAAAATGTATCTAGATATACTTGCATCACTTATTTACTTCCCATCAGTGAAGAAATCACAACCATACAATTGTTTCTGTCTACACATCTCCTTTACTGCATTGTATTGTGGATGACAACTTGTTTCATGGTTAATTTAATTCCACTGCTGTTTTATTGGTATTATTGCCATGAAAAATTATGGTACCTTATACATTATTTTTATTCAATAATCCTATGTTAGATTCACATGATGAGATTTTCAGGGAGGAAACTGTTTCCTATTGTGTATTTCCCTCTGGGTACAAACTTCCAGCACATCTTTTCTTAAAAGGCTACTGTAGAACAATCACTTAACTTCTATTTAACATAAAACCACTGGAATATGAAGGTTGAAAAAATGAAATAAAGTTTTATTATATTGCATACATTCTTACAAAAAGTATACTAATAACTACTTTTACATAAATTTATATTTCATTGTTCAATTCACAATATAATTTTAAGAATATAATGAAAAGAAAATGAGAATATTTTCCAGATTTCAGAATAATCATCCTTACTAATTAGACCTCAACTTTGCAGATGGAAATCATTCCTCCAAAAAACATAAAAGTTGAGAAATGCCAGATCAATCCATGCCCAAACTTCTTTCAGTCATAAGTTAACTATATTGTTAAGACCAAAGCTGCATTTTCTGCATTTGTTTGGCTCTTGCATCAGCAAACTAACATAACTAGTAGTGCTCACAACTGACAAGAGTTATATAAACCAAATATGCCAAACATGCCAAACCTAAAGTGGCTTTAAAAGATTCATGCATCTCTTTTTCAAGTACTACAAATTATCTTAGAATCTCCAGGTATAGAATAATATGTTAGAACACCAAATGCTGGTGGATAAATTCATTCCTTTTCTAGTTCTGCTTTTACTCACATTAGACATCTATTTTCTGACAACAAATTCATATGCTATATTCCGTAGTCCAATATAATGACATCTTCTACAAAAGTTGTTTTTAAAAGTATTTTATATAACTGATTGCATTAGTTGTTCTGAACATGCACTTACATGAATATACAAATCTTTGATTTATTTAATGGGGTTTCCTATGTGTAACGAGAGATTGTGGGTAAAAGAATGTACTGTGTCTACCCTACTGAGTTTCAGTCATTATAACACTGAGGCAACGATGGCCCATTGTTCACATTATACTTTTTAGTCTATGTATTATCCTGCACATTTTAGATTGCAATACAACGCATATTTCAAGTATATAAATATTATACATCCACAATATTCCTGAAGAAAGTTCTGAATAAGAAATTGAAATTTTGTTTTTTTTAATGAATTCCTGTATAGAATTTGTATAATTCGATCAGAGGCACAATCTCTGCATTTCTCAGTAAAAACTGAAATATAAAAAAGTAGGTGGATTTTTCCATTGTGGAGTTTGATCCTAGATACATCTTCAGAAGTAAACCTCAACAAGTCTAATGAGGTTTACTCCATGCACCTGTAGAAAGAAGTGCAACTATATGTATAAATTGTTTTGTTTAGGATTTGGAAAAGGTCAGTGAATCTACAGTTTGGAAGTGATCTGTGTCTCATTTGTCACAACATCACAACCAGATCTGATCTTCTGTAGTCTCTTCCTAAAGCATGGGAACAGCAGGATAACTTTACAAGTCAGAACTACAATCGGGAGAATAACTGCTATTATAAATGTGGGTGGAGTATAGCATAAGTACTGGTGTGGATCAATCCATTTATCCCATGCAAATACTAGTGCATGAATAGTACAAAGCAGCAATGCTAAATATCCAATCTTGCTCTAGGAAAAAAAGAAGAGAAGTATTTTAAATAGAGTTAATTAAGATTAAATATAATTCATAGTACCTGCTAGATACATATGTTTAGAAGTATCAGTTAACATGGGTAAAAAGAACAGCTTAGTCTATTCATGGGGATTAACAGCAACTTGATATCACAAACCAGCAGGCATGGAAATAAATGTTCATTTGCTTGTGACTGCAGGAATCAAACTGTGTCAAAACAAAAGCTAAAAAAGTTGGTTGAAAAGTTGATAATCTTAACTATATTAAAATTCTATAAGAAATTGATGAATACTCTTTGTTGTTCTTAATATCTATTTGTTTCAAAACATCAGTCAACAAAATATTAATATATAGTAACAAATTCAGGGTTTTCATCTCTGGACTTCTTAAGACATATTTTGTAAAATATATGAAATTCTGCAACAGTTGTTTAGAATTCTAATAAATAAATATTTTATTTTCTGAATTTAAAGAATATACCTCCATCCTAAAGTAAAAAAGAATAGTTTTCAACCAAAGAGCCTCCTTTTCTCATAACTCGTGTTCCATGAATTATATATCAACAAGCAGAGTGGAAATCAACTGAGTAGGAAAAATGTGACTAAGTTTACAGATAGCTCTCTTTTTCATGCATCCCATCATTATTTCACAATTTCAACTGGGAATAGCAGAGATTGAACATCAGGCTTGTAACATCCAAGTTCATGTCCTGCTAAAAAAGATTCTTTGTAATGATACATCTGTCCGTCCATATACCTGAATATAATGAAACTCTCTCCAAGTCAATGAGTAGCTGACAGATGGAATTGATGTTACTGCCAACACAGCCAGCAAAGCAAGTGCCAGAATTCCTAGAGATACATAAATCTCCATTCTCCAGACATCATGTTCAATCCAGGCATTTTCCTTTTTTTCCTGTACCTGTGGAAATATTACACTTGAAAAAAAAATATCATAAGGACACCTTGACAGCCTACATGTACTTAACATTAAATTCTAGTTGTACACATTTTGCATAGATAACGCTTTAGGAATCAGATTATATGGACTGACAGCCTATTGTCATTTCTGTGATTGAAATATAAGCTGTGGTTACATCTCAAACAACACTGGAGTTTTCCCATGTGAAAGTATACATGGGTCAGGAATTGCAGTGGGAATAGGGAGAAAAATATCAGTGAATATGTGTAAACAAGCCCACATCAAGTTTACATCTGTATCATTTAACAATAAAGTTAAACAAAATAGGAATCAGCTGCTGCTTTGCTTCATTTTCTCAGCTTTGTGTACCAAATTAGGGCATAGTCATATTGAAACTATCGTGTTGTTTACACCAGTGACAAAAAGAAATTGCATCAGCCTACACCAAAGCAAAGTCAATTAGGCTGAATATTTACTTACTTCAGCAAAGTTTTAACTCCCTAAGAAGATTAGTTCCAATTCCTTGCTAACTTGATTTTCCCAGCATGACTCCCTCTATTTGCTGACAAACAGAATTCCTTCTCAAGCTAAATACAACCTTTGGCATATTGTGACAGGTAATGCAGTAAGGAATATTTTAAGTGACTAATCAAGGGAGGTTGTCTTGGCAACCACTGTTAACTTGCTAGGACAGTCAATGAATCCAGATAGTTTACAAAAACTCCTATATAACTGATGTGCACAGAGAATAAACTGTCACAAAGTTAATATTTAGCATGGGGGATAGGATGCAAATTACATAATTTTTCCCCCTTCACATCTACATTTGACAAAACTTTCTGCATGATATACTTAGAAAAAACTTTAAAATTTTTAGCAAGATTTTGTGTCAATGACTTTAGATGTGCAAAAAAATCTCAACTACTCTGCTCTTGACAGATTCTACTAAGTTGTCTTCATTGGATAAAAAGCCCAATTTCCAACCTCAATTCAACAATCCCCATGTTGTTAAAATAGCATAGTATGTGTATGTAAGAGTAATAGAATGAAATTAATGGATCCTAATGTGAGGAAGCATTTACAGAATTAGAACCCTTTCTTTTCTTCACTGAATCCATTTTTTTAACATTATCCATTAGAGACTAGATCATCAGAAAGGCACAATGTGTGCATGTTTGTGTATGTAGTGATACTGTAATAAACATACCTGCTGATATGCCCAGTTTAAGAGTTTGTATCTGTACGATCTCCTCAATGGATAGCACAAACTGTAACAGGCATGCATGGAAGCAAAAAAGAAGCTCAGAAGCCCAAACTGTTTTCTTGATAACATCCATCTGTCTAACCATGGTGGAAAACGTCTATACTTAGTTCCATAATGGAATTGGAAGCCAGCAGCTAATATTCCAGGTAAATAAACCAAGGCCAGAAGAGTAATTGATACCACGGGTAAGACTTTGTTTATGACCAAGACTGGAATTTTATAAAATACGTTTTTTTGAGCATTGACAAAAGGATGGATGATGTCTCTTAGAAAAGTATAAGTAAATACAAAAAAAGAGAGTATTAATGCTGTTTTCACTGGTAAATGCCATTTAGGAAAAATATATTTGCAGTACTTATTGGGAGAAGACTCAAACTCATCTATATGGGTTCTTTGATGCATGTGAGAGAACACAATTTCTTCAGGAATGCCAGGAGCTTGTAAGTCCATAATCTGAAAAGAACACACAGTACACATAAGCCTGTAGAGTGAGTTAGTATTACTGGTAATAGTAGATCCATGCATTGTTTTTCTTTGTACATTAGTCCAACATAAGTTTCCTTCCATCTGAAATTTCTCTAAGCCTCAGACTTTAGGTTACACGAATTTATATAAACTGAGATTGTATTTCATTAGCTTAGTCATGTGTAATTTCAGGCACTAAATTATTTTTGGAAAGCTGGTTCTTCTATATGTTTTCTCACAATATTTTGTGAACTTTCAAATTAGTGAGAAAACATTTTAGCCAATGAAGAGATCTGAAAATTTTAAAATTGCATTGTTTTGTGATCTTTGAAGTTGGTTTAATAATGTAAGACATTAAGATAAGTCTAGATTTTAATGGGAATGCAGCTAATGTTTTCTCCCATAACTTACAAAATCATTTAAAAATGGAAACTATATTGGAAAATATTTTGTACTATTTGAAACTAATATTCTTCACTCACTAAAGTTTTGTATTTAGGATTTGTTTACCTAACAATATAGCTAAAATTATCTTGATTAATATAGAAGAGCCATGTTTTTCTTAAAGACAGATGTGAACATAGTTGAATTTTAGGTTCCCAAAAATGCAGAATAAATGTGATATACTTTATTCCAATACATTAACCTAAACATTATAGCAACACTTGGAGACTAATCAAATGTCATCTTTTCTCACAGGCCTTTTAAATTCGACAAGACAACTGTAATGCTAATTAAGGGGTTCTTTATATTAATGGTTGTTTCTAAATTCCATATAACTTCCCGCACTGAAATGGGAAGGTCAATGTTTTTACATTCTTACAACATCTTAATAAATCTTTTATTCAGGGATACATTTTTACGCTAGTAATATTAATTCAGCTAGAAGGTTTTAATGCATAACTTTGCCAGAAAGTCCAAAGCACATTTTCTACGTTATCATGGGAATATAAATAAAGAGCCCAATGTGTTAAAAAACAATCGGAAACCTTTTGAACAAGGTAAATTACTGTACCAGAAATCTTTTGTGGGTGATTGGAACATTACACTCTGTGAAATAATTCCAGAATGTTTTGAGCAGCTTGTACATTTTAAAGAATAGAGAATCAATAAAAAAGGAAAAAAGACCACATACAGACATATCACAGTATAAACATCATTAATACCCCCCCCCAACTTATAAGGACTCCAAGCCATCCTACCCCAAGGCCAGAGAGAATATCCATATATTTAAAGACTTCTGGAACAGATCTCTGGAGGGATATTATTCAACAGAGAAAGCATGCTTCCTAAATCCTGTTAGATTAAAGAAAACCTAAGTCACTGCTTGATTAAAGAAAATTGAAATGTGCCAACACTGCCTGATTTTACTGGATGAACAGAAACCATGGAAGAAATAACCCTGTCTTATACCATTAAAGGCTTTATATGTTACAGCCAGCACATTGATTTGCATCTGGAAGCTCGCTGGAAAACAATGCAACCTGATCTGCAGTGATGTCACATGGGTATACTGAGGAATGCCCATTGCTCATACTACTGCATTATGAATCAGGTGCAGTTTTTGAGTAGTCTTCAAGGGGAGCCCCATGTACTATTCATTGCAATAGTCAAACTATACAGGTACTAGGGCATGCATGACCATCTATAGGTCCTATGATTCCAGGAGTGTCTGTCACTTGAATGCTAGATGGAACTATGAAAAGACTGTCTTGAATATAGGCAGCATCTGCCCTTTGACCAGGAGCTGTGAGTCCCAGAAGAACACCAGTCTGAAATGGAGAAGTATAATTGCATCCAAGATTAAAGAAAATCCCTAGATAAGGGGGAGGGGGAAGTCAAATACAAAGCCATTCAGTCTTGGCACAATTGAATCTGTTGCTTTTCATCTGGACCCACAGCTTCTAGACATTGGGACAAGGCACTGACAGCATCATTTGGCCCATCCAAGGTCAATGAGTTAGGTATCATCTACATATGTTGGGCTCCAAGCAAATGGATGACTTCCCCAGTTGTTTCATATAGATGTTTTGCAGGAGGGAAGATAGCCTTGAGCCCTGAGGCATTCTACAAATGAAGAATATATGTTTCATGCTTGTCAGATCCAGCAACCAGAACCAAATACAAAAATTCACAATTAAGCAATAGGTTTCTTCTGAGCATATCTGGATCCCATGTCTAGGAATGTGTTTTTGATATTTGTAGTGAACTGATTTCATAGCCATTTTAATGAGGTGATTCTCTTAAGTTTTGTTGTAATTTTAGAAACTTGATGTACATACCTCAGCTTCTACCGCGAGTCCATTTGGAATCAAAAGCTCTTGCTTCTTTACCATTATTTACCAAGTATTGATAATTAACTGCTCTATATACCACCATCCCCCAGAAAAAATTGGGGATGGGGCACCAAAGCACCATCCAAGGACAATTTAGAACAGGTAACTTAAAAATATAAAAATTACCGCATTGCCGAAAACCTCCTGTGTTATTTCAGAGTTCATTTTCTTATTTTCATCCTGATCCATATTCTTTGACCAATAATGGATGTCTGAAAAACAATTTCAGGAGTCTTTTGTTACTTATTTGTATTCCAAAAAAAGATGGTAATAATAAAATCTATAAATAATCAAAGATACTATTGTTTTGAAAAATCTTTTTTTATAAAAACAGAAGGCCAAAATGTTCTTACAAAACTAAATGAAAGTATGGGAAGTTTCTATACTGAGATAAAAAAAAAGTTGGATTAGAAAACACTAAGAACTAATGATGCTGTGTAATTCCTAATTCCTAATTTCTAATAATTTGGATCCTTAGTATTTGAACTTTATAGATTTAAATAAAGAATGTCACTAGTCTGACTCAGATATTTCTAAAACCTTCTTGACATTTAATGTGAACAGTCAAGTTTCTCTTCAAGTTATATTGATGTTCCAATTTTACTGAAAAACCTCATTTTTATAGAAATCTGAGCATTAAGAGTGTATATTTTTATAAGCAAATCGGATACAAACAGGATTCTGATGTGGACTCTAGTAACTCACAGATCTCACTTCCCTTTTAAATAATCTACCTTGGTACCAAAACTTAGCTGGTTTTATGATCATGCCTTTATTGTTCAACTTGGATTTGAAAACATTTTTTATTATGAGCAAAGGGAGTATTTTATTAAGGCGATGGAAGAAACAAAGACATGGAATAGGATACCTGCAAGCTTTGTTTCATGGATCTGACATGGGTATGATGTTTGCACATCAGCTACATTCACTCCCATATCCTAATTAAGGTGATTATTGCATGCCATAGATTATATTATAAAATCCTGTGAAGTCTAATGTTAAAAGCCTCTATTCAACAGAATATATTCTATAAAAGAAGCCTGGTTTGCTTGGCTCAAGCCAACAATGACTTTAGGGCATCATTCAGACTTTTTACGGAAACATCAATACGGTGGCCTTCCTGATATCTAGGCTGACAATGCATGGCAAAAATCATATAATTAAAATAGTTACAACTCTGCCTATTGTGAGAACAGACTTCAGCTATTAACTGCTTTTCAATTATACTTCTTTCGTGATACCTGTTTCTCATAACCTCTGGGGCTAGGCTCTTTATCTCTAAATACTGAATACTAAATAAAAATGCTAAAAGTGAAGATATTAAAGGTTGCTGATCCAGCAACTCCTTAGTATTTATTTCAGCCTCTGCAGTATACTAATTTTTATACAGAAGACTGAAATAACATGGATATCACTTAGAGATCTGATTATATAATAGTTTACATCTGTTACACAGATATCCGGAGAGAGAAAACTGCCATCCTTTTTAAAACGAGAAAGGTTTGGGTGGGTGACTTTCATGCTGTTGCCTGAATCAATAGTTCTAAGTATATCAAAACTCACTTCAGATGGAATAAAGTCTTAATGAGCATAAGGGGTCTCATTGTTGAGTATCCATTCCCAAGACTGAAATCTTATCCAGAGTTATCTGAATGTAACTTTATTTTAGGGCAGTGAGAACCATTCAGGACATTTTGCATTGGTAGCAACCTTGACCACCACCACACATAGTCTTTGACTTATAACCATTCATTTTTTGAAGCTACAACAGCACTGGAAAAAAGTGACTTATGACTGTTTTTCACACTTACAACCTCTGCAGCATCCCCATGATCACGTGATCAAAATTCGGGCACTTGGCATGTATTTATAACAGTTGCACTGTCATGTGATCACCATTTCCGACTTTCCCAACTGGCTCCCCACAAGCAAAATCAATGGAGGATTTCAAACATCACATTATAGCCAAAATTCCTTGCCCATTGGATCATACAATGTTTTGCATGGGAGAATATGTGGATAAAAGGTTTAAAATTCACATTAAATTATAACCTAAAAGAAAATTTCTACAAAATGATGTATCGCTGGTATTTAACACCAGATAAGCTATCTAGAATATATAAAGGTATTTCAAATGAATGTTGGAAATGTAAATGTAAATAAGGGACTTTTTAATCATTTATGGTGGACATGTGATAAGGCAAATAAATATTGGAGTAGGATTCATATATTAATGGAGAAAATTCTTAAAGGGAACATAAAGATTAAACCAGAAACTTTCCTTCTGGGTCTAATGGAAAGAGAACTGAGGGAAAAAAATTGGAACTATGATTTTATATATGGTGAGGGCAGCAAGATTGCTCTATGTATGAAAGTGGAAGGATGCCTCGATTCCTACCATGGACGAATGGTTACAAAAGCTGATGGAATTGGCAGAGTTGGCCAAATTGACTGTGCTGAGAAAAGAAAAGAACATAAGTATTTTTGTTTCTACTTGAAGCTGTTTCTGGACTTTGTGCTTGAGGTGGAAAAAATATATCATGATTTTGGGTTTTACTGATTAGACTGACTTGCCAATACAGAAATGGCTAGTGCATACTACTATAGAAATGTAAAAAGTTGAGATTTGATTTTAATATCTGATTTTACTGCAATAGAGAGAGTTGGAAGTCAATGCCTTTTGTCCTTCCCCTCCCCATCTTCACACCTTTTTTGTCTTCCCTTTCTCTACTGTTGTCCCTTACTATTTCCTTTTGTATTTTCATTTTATGTTATAAATGAATAAAACTTAATAAAAAAATATGGAGGAAGCCAGATTTGCTTAACAGCCTCATGATTCACTTAAAACTACAGTGATTTGTTTAACAATTGTGGCAAAACGGTCAAAAAAATGAGGCAGAACTTAACAACTGCCTTGCTTGGCAACAGAAACATTGGGCTCATTTGTGATCTCAAGTCAAGGACCTCTTGTAACACCCTTTCAAGAGGTTTGCACAGTCCTATTTTACTGTACTCAGATCTTCTGAATAAGCAATCATGAAACTTGGCAGGCAGCCTACTAACTGCCTATCAAAGAACTTGAGAATTTGTAGAGGTACCAATATAGGGGAATATATGCAGCTCGGGGCTGAACTGAGGAATCCTTGAATCCTTCTAGCACTGAAGATGCTACCTAGTGGAGTAACAAAGCATCTGCAAGGAAACCATCAAGCTCAGAGAGCACCAAGGGGTCCAACCTTGGCAACTTTAAGATCTGTGAACTTCAACTCTCACAATTCCCCAGCCAGCCATATTGCCAAGGTTGGATACCCCTGTTCTAGAAGGTACACTAAAAATGTGTCATTTTTATTTTTAATTCAGCAAAGCAAAGCTTGGAAGATCCAGGTTGTCATATTCTGAGCTAAATATTAAAGTTAGTTCTGCAATATCTCAATTTGAAAAGTGTATATTGCTGTGTACAGCATATGCAAGCAGGGAAATGTTCTTAGCCCCTTTCCCTTTTTGCTCTAATACTGGATCTGCCACTTTCTCTTCTTTTCCTATCACTTCCCATTTTCCTGCTGATGCTGCAAAAGGCAGTGTGCCAGGCAGCTATTGTACTGAGATCTAACGATAAACTGAGCTTTGCTTCTATGCCAGCATAGTCTAAAATTAAAAGATTCAAATCTACTTATATTGAACAGTCAATTCATTCTCAACTTATTGTCTTCTGTGATTCAAAGGACCCAGCAGGCGCCAGACGGTTCTAAGATTAGGGAACTCTTAACCAAACCTTACCACTAAAAAGGGAGCAGAAAACAGTCCCATTAAGGGCTTTCCAGAAAGAGAGTGAAAAAGAGTTGGGGATGAATATAGTGATAGTTAGTGAAGCTCTGAACAGATGCATAACACGGGATAAATTGATTCTAGATCCCACCGGCTAGAACTATTTCTTGTTTTCTTACATCTCTTAGAATTATAGGTTTCCTATTTTCAACATTCCGTTAGAGTCAGCAGCATCTCATCATACTGTATTCCGAATTTACTTTCCTTTCCGGAGCTCGCTTCCAGAATGGAAAACGGGACATTCAATCCTAAACTTTCGCACGAAACTTGTGACTTTAGGATCTTATGACGTCGGAAATTCCGTCACGTATTCTTGCCCAACATTGCTTTTGTTCGGGCGTTCAGGTCTGCACTGCGAGGGAGGCGGGGCCGGGGGTGTCTTTTCCAGCCTCTAACTAACTAACTAACTCCCGAGCACCCACCTCTGGCTCGGCAGATATTTGGTGAGCGGTGTGTTTGCCTCTCAGGAGCTGTGGATGGGCTGCCCTCTCATAGAATTGGAGTTGGCTCCGTTTTGGTGCTCGGGAATATTCAGCGACCGAACGCTCTGAACTTACGACTTTTTTTTCCGCTTTCGGGAGCCGGACGGGACGATTAAGGCCGGCGCAGCGTTTCAGCCAGCCCGGCGTCTCTGCTCGGCTCGACACGTTTGCCGCGCAGCATGCGGCCGTCTCGCCTCGTCCCGCCCCTTCCAACTCCGCCTTCGCATCCTTTTTTTGTGTGTGTGCCCCGCCTTTCTTCTGCCTGCAGGACTTGGTTGATTGATATATAAAATACCTCGTTAATCAAACGGAAAGAGGCAGCGCCCGGGAAAGCCAAACTTTGAAGAATATGCAGATGTAATAAGCAAACATCTCCGTCAGCCAGATCAAAAAGGAATGCAATCTGCAATCTGCAAACCACCCACCTTCCCCGTTTTGCATAAATATAAGATAAGAAGTAAGTACATTAACCACAGAATCTTTAATGCTATTAGGAGAAGTGGGGATACTGTAAGTGGGTGGATTTAGAAGACAAAACTCTATCCAGGGAAGCGATCTTCTTCACTGACCCCTTCATGAAGTTTCAGATTGCTAAGCAACCCTAACCATTTATAATATGCAAATAATTGAATAAATGCTACTGTAACCGATAATAATAGTCCTTTTATCCTTGGGGGATTTATTGCTCACTTTAATGTCAGGGAAATAAATGCAACCGAACATCATGTTGCAACCTGTACTGATGTCAGAAATGGTGAAAAATGCTTGCTTTTAAATTTTCCCTCATTGCAAGTGCTCTCCCGGTCCTATCTGGATTCTATATGTACTGTGGTAGCGAATGTGATCGGCTATTGTACTTTAATTCCTCTAAGCATCTCTGGACATATGCAAGGCCAACACTGAACATCCATCTCCAATTGGACTGTTGATCACACAACCTTAGGTTTATCGTGCCATCCGCCCAGTGATTTTAACAGGCACAAGCCCATCCCTTGTGACAGGTATTATTTAATATGCAGGTCTCCCTCTGTAGATTTCTGGTTTCCAATGACATTTCCTGAATGGAATAACAGAATAACAGATTTGGACGGGATCTTGGAGGTGGCCTTCCAGTGCAACCTCCTGCTTAAACAGGAAACCTTATACCAGTGGTGGCGAACCTATGGCACGGGTACCATAGGCGCCACTGAGAGCTCTCTCTGTGGGCATGCGCGGCGTCGCCCCAGTCTTAGGCTTCCGCTGGGTTTTATAAAACCCAGCTGAAGGGTTTTAGGGCTCCACCACCATGTACAAAAAAAAAAAAGTTTCAATCAGTCAATTTCAACTTCTCGTGGGAAAAAAAAAGATCTTGCAAAGTTGGAATTGATTGATTGAACTTTTTAGTCCCACCCAGTCTGCCATTACCACCAAAGCCACGCCCACCCAATGGGCCACACCCACCCGCACTCGACAGTGCATAAATGGGTTTTGGGTTGCAGTTTGGGCACTCAGTCTCTAAAAGGTTCGCCATCACTGTCTTATACCATTTCAGACAAATGGCTGCCCAATCTCTTCTTAAAAACCTCCAGTGTTGGGGGTCCTATTTTTATGGCTTATTCCATGGCTTGGGCTCAAATCTACAGACTAAAGACTCCATCAGTCTTTCAACATGTTGCTGCTGTCTTCTTGTCCAAACAATGACCAGTTGTGATATGGAAAACACATCTATAACTCTGTTGGAGGACTTGGGAAAGAAAATGTATGAGTGAGACCTGAGCTGCCATTGTTTAGTTGTCCACATGCACAACTACTGTTGGGCAGTTATAGGTTACTGATGGGGGTCATCATGATGCAATGCCAACCTCTAGATGTTATAAGGGCCCCAGCATCTTCTGCCCAAAATGACAGAAAGTCTGTTCTTATGGATGCTGAATTTAACAACAGAAAACACTGTTCCCTTGTAGGAAAATAGGGAACTTGGTGTTTGCTTTATTCAGAGTATTTGGAGTTAAGTGCCATTATAGATACAGGGCATAGTACAATAGAGATAACATGCTTAGTATATATTTTTATAAAATGTATATGCATGTTTATTGTTATTGTTATTTTATCTGCATCCATATGTGGAGTTGCCTGATACCTGCCTTATAATTAAATTTATAAATTTATAATGCTATAATCTCTGTTTCTGTAAGGGGGATATAGTTTGTATTTGGCAGTGGGAGGGGTTCTTTCACCTGGGCAGCTTGCTAACACGGCCTTTGTGTGACCGATCAGGGTCTGCAGACTCTTACAAATATAGGTAGTCCTCGACTTACAGCTGTTCGTTTAGTGCCCATTCGAAGTTAGAACAGCACTGAAAAATTGACTTGTGACCATTTTTTACACAACCGTTGCAAGTATCTCCATGGTCACGTGATCAAAATTCAGACGCTTGGCAACTGGCTCATATTTATGACGGTTGAAGTGTCCCGGGGTCACGTGATCCCCTTTTGCAACCTTCTGACAAGCAAAGTCAATGGGGAAGCCAGATTCACTTAACAACTGTGTTACTAACTTAACAACTGCAGTGATTCACTTAACAACTGTGGCAAGAAGGGTCGTAAAATGGGGCAAAATTCACTTAGCAAATGTTGCACTTAACAACAGAAGTTTTGGGCTCAATTTGTGTCATAAGATGAGGACTACCTGTAACTATTTTAGATACTGGGTATCAGGTTTGTGGTCTTGATTGAGTAGACGAACAGACATGGATCAAACTTGTTATAAAACCGTTGAGAAGAGAGAGGGAGGTACTGTATCTGACATCCCCGGGATAATTTTTGATATCGTTTTGAGTCAAACATTTTTTGCTGAGAGCAGCTGCATAATGGAAAATTTTTCTTAGCCAGAGTAGCAGCACCTGGGAGATCATATGCAAACTGGAAAGCTTTAGTAGCTACCTACCTGATACTCCAGCAAAAAAAAAGAAATAAATAAAGAGCAAATGAAGACGCAAGTTACTCCATTATATAATTCATTGCTAAGGCCTGGCTGCACAGTTCCCAAATGCTGATTGACAGCTGAGCTATGCCTATTGTTACCTTGCTGGCTAATGCAGGAAGGGCTAGCAATGTTATGTAGCCTTGCCAGCATTCCTCTGGTATATGCACTTGGGGAAAACTAGGAAGAAAACTAGGGCAGAGATTCCCAAATGATGACTTTCACACAGTTAGTATGATCGGGTCATATGAAAATCACCAGGAAAAGGTGACTAGAATAGTGGCTGACTAGGTTGGAGATGTGGTAGAAGCGAGATCATTATTAGACAATGGGATATATAGTGTCAGGCCCAAATAATTAGAACCAGTCGTTAACTTCCAGTTAAGCTGATTTATTGCTCATCCCTACATACAATAATCTTCTAGTCAACTAATGGTCAGCACTAAATTAGTGTTAGATAAGAGATGATGGAATTCTAGAGAACCTGGAGTTGTGGGGACATAGTGAACAAAGTGATTCCTCTTTTGACTCCAGTCCCAGGCTCTGCCTCTCCTTCTCCTATTTGCAGAGATTATGAGAGACCAAGTTTTCCTGTCTGGTCTCTCTGTGTTACTCTGCCATTAAAAGCAAGTAAGCACTACTTAAAAAAATGTTTGGCAATCTTTTATGGTTAATGCGCCCAACTTCTCAGCAAGATTTATAGAACTGCAACTCCTATATCTCATTGTCCAATTTTCAGGGTGGCAGGAAATAATGAGAAGTATAGTTAAGCATGTCTGGAAGGCATAAGGCTGGGATGGCTGCTGTACATGTGCCTGACAACTCCTAATTCAGATAAGGTCTTCAATAATCTATTCTAGTTTATTTAGAATATGTATGTGAACCTGGTGACTACTCCATTTGAAACGCCTAGAGATAATTACATTTATAATTCATTTTGATATATCTATTGCCATGAATTAGCCACCACACGGATTTATTTTTCTTTCATAGTCCTAGAACAGATGTTGCCCCAGTAATAACTATAATTTCATTTATGAATATTTATGTCTGTGATGGATCAGATTTTTAAATTTAATATTTAAGAAGTTAAATTGCATTATGCTCCTTCACCAACTGAACAAAAGCAATAAAATAAAGTTGACAAGTACTTTCATGTGTGGAATACAATCTAACTCATGTAATACATATAGCTAGACACTCAGTACAACAGACGTGGCAACCTCTTCTATTTTACCCGTTATGCAATAGCGCAATATGATCACAACTTTATGTTCAACCTATAGTAAGCACAATAACAAATAATACAGGTAGCCCTTAACTTATGGCTACAAATGAGTCCAAAATTTCTGTTGCTAAGTGAATTTTGCCCATTTTATGACCTTTTTCGCCACAGTTGCAAATCACTGCAGTTGTTAAGTCAATAGCATCATTCCTAAGTGAATCTGGCTTCCCCATTGACTTTCCTAGTAAGAAGGTCACAGAAGGTGATCACACTATCTACAACTGTCACAAATATGAGCCAGTTGCCAAGCATCCAAATTTTGATCACATGACCATGGGGATGCTGCAAGAGTCATAAGTTATTTGTTTTCAGTGCCATTGTCACTTTGAGTAGTCACTAACCAAATGGTTGTAATTTGAGGACTACCTCTATGTCAGTGATGGCGAACCTTTTAGAGACTGAGTGCCCCAAAACTGGCCCTGCCCCCATTCCACCTCCTGCCCTGCCCCACCTGCCCGCAGGGCCACTCACCGCCTCCAGGGGCTGCCGATCTCCCAGCAGCGCCATGGTGGCCACGCTGTCTGCCCACGCCCCGCAGCATCAACTGTGCGATGGGGCGTGAGGGCAGAGTCTTGTCTACGCTGTCTGACTGCCATGTCCTTGGCTGCACTGCTCCACGTGGGCCATGCTCGGGGGTGACTCTCTTCCAGGAGGGGTGCTGGTGAGAAGGGGGTTGCGGGGGGAGGCAAGGCTGGGGCAATGGCACATGT